GGGGGGGGGGGGGGGGGGGGGTGGGGGGCGTACGGGTGCGAGAGCTCGTCGTGTTTGCTGTTTAGTGCAAGTTGTCGTATGAAGCGGCTTTTGCACTTACGCAGTTCTTTCTAGTCAGCGAGATTCCCTCTGCCGGTCGGTCTATGAGGCGTGGCAGCACATGCTGAGGAACTAGACAGGACAGCACTGATTCCTCAAAACGCCATCCAAATGTTTGAAGAATGTTATGCTTATTAACGTGCAAGGCATCACACCATGTTGTTGCCGGTTTCGGCATGTTGGCGTTAAGACCATGAAGGATGTTCATGTGGTGCTGAAGGCTACATCCAGCATCCAGCCGGCGACGAGTTGTGGAGAGCAGAAAATTCTCGGATATTTTTCCAACTGTTGGCAAAATCGACCGATGATTGGATATAGCAAATCCAGGTTTTCGTACAGAGGGCACCAACACGGCCGCTCGCTCGATCTGATGTATTGACATGAAAAGAAAACACAAAACATCGCTGTTAGTGTCACACCGCGTGCTGCTGCGTTGAGCACGAAGATCCCTCACACGAGGGGCACATTTGCAGGACTTTTTTTTCGGGCCAATGGGGCGGTGGTAGGGGGATTGGGGGAATGCATGAATGCCAAACTCAGCGACGTACGTCACTGTTGGTTGCGGAGTTGTACGGTATTTCTAGGTCACAAACCCGCGAAAAAAAACAAACGGCTCAAATACACACGCGCGTACGGCGAGTTGGATTTCTTGAAAGTGACAACGGTAAACGTGTTCTGTTTGCTGGGGAAAAGCTTCAATATCAGGCTCACTATGGGCAACCAAAACAAGAACCCCCGGTGAGTAGGGCTTCTTGGCACTACGGCCACATAGTTGCCCACCACCAGTCTGTCTTCTCTCTCGGCGTGCCTGCCCCGCTGCGTCAATATTGAACACGGACACGGTAGTCTACGGAGGCCCTGATTCATCGCTCGCCAAATGCGGTTTGGTAGGCTCCGTGTGAGCCGAGTGTCGCTGCAAGGTTACCTAGGAGAACGTCACCTGTTGCCCACCCCCATTTCATCGGCGGGGAAATTCCAACAGACGTATTGCTGAGGGTGGGAATATACCTACCTTGGAAAAAACTACCAAGTACAAAGTGTCGTGCGCAACCGTACCCGCGCATATCCTCACCTTCTCTGTTAGTCCATGCGCATCCAAAAAAAACTGCCCTCTCCTGTCGATCTGATATCTGTTGGTGCAGCCAAGGACGGCAATCGGTTTCTATTGTAAAACCAGATGCGTGGAGGCTGTTAGGTGTACGATGTTGTGTCCCGTTGTGTGAGAGTGAGCGCGACCCTTGTCGTGGAGTCTTTCGATATATTTATTGCGTCCCCAAAACTGAAAAAAAAAAAAACCCACCACATGTGAAGACAACAACATACCCAATAATGACTATTTGGAGAATGCTGCATGCATCGGAAAGAAGTACTTCAATATGGGAATGTAAATACTTGACAACACGAGGAAAAGTTCGCCCTGGACTAAGCAACACGTACCAACTTCCTAAGCACCGGAAACAGTTGAATTTTTTTACGTGGTCAAAAGGGTTGTGAGTGCGGCACCGTCTGTCCGCTGCCGACTACAGCAGTAGACGGTGGTCGTTTTGCCGTTGTGTGTGTGCCTATCTCTCTCTCTCTCTCTCTCTCTCTCTCTCTCTCTCTCTCTCNTCTCTCTCTCTCTCTCTCTCTCTCTCTCTCTCTCTCTCTCTCTCTCTCTCTCTCACGCACATTCTGCCGTGCTTGTGAGACACAGACAAAAGGACAAAAAAGAAATTCCATCAGACTCCATGTACATGGCTCGTGACGCCCACGACCCTACAAAATGTGGTGCCAACGACAAGCAGCTGTGGGTTGGACCGCTTTGCTGTTGAACCAAGTGTTGCATTGGTGAGACGACCATAGGGGAGAATCAACCTCCGTATCACCATGAAAATATACCAAAGATTCGTGGTGTTCGCAACATTGCACCTTTCGCAAGAATGTGGCAGCAGGACCACCAGGCAGCCCACCGCTCTTCCCAACACAATCGATTTAATTTATTGGCACCGACCGACAGTCTCGTGGTTTTGCATTGAAAATCTACTTATTGAGTTGCAATCAGGCGGGTTCAGTGTCTGAACCATCGCGAATATCGGCGCGGGAGGCCCAAACAAACTTCTCCCTTCTCTCCAGTCTATGCTTTGAGCGTTAGCCTTGAAGACCCTTACACTGCAACATGAATGCAACTGGTAACTCTTTCGTTTGCTGACCAGCCAACAACAGACGCACTCAACCAAACATGCTGCGAATAACTCACACGAAGGCGACCCTAGGATCGAAATAGTCCGCCGAAGGCATCCTCTCTATCACCGAGATGTCACTCCATCCTCTCTTGGCCAACATCAGTGCTGTTGCCAACCCGGAGGGCCCTCCGCCCACAATAACCGCGCCTTCAGGGGCTGCTGCAGCCGGCCCTGTCGCTGACATGCTGAGAGACTTCCCCGTCCCGATGATTCGACTTGACGCTGCATGGCTTGTGCTGTGCCGAGCTGCTGTGGACGTGAGCGTTCCAAATGACGTGCCGATCCCCTGAATAAGGGCAAGGATCACCCAAGGAAGTATCTGTCCCGGTCGCGGGGCCATAGTGCCAGCGCTCCGTGTGTGTATGCGTTTATGATGCACGACGGATCCAACACCAATGACGCGGCGAGATTTCGGGGGGTTCCGTCGATTGTTGTACGCTTGTGATACAGCAGTAGGAGTACCCCCTAACCCCCCGCGATCCAAGAAGTTGCGCCGCTGCATGTCTTTCAGCAGCCGACATGACTGCTGTGGACGAGATCGGCTGTACCCAGTGTGCGTCTATGGTTCTTTCTGCGCTCGACGCACGTGAATGGGCCATGGGATATATATTATATGGAAGAAGCATGCGTCAGCCTCGTTTGCAGAAAACTCAAAATGTGTATTGGAAATGGTTGCCTATCGATCAGCAGAGAAAGCACGATTGACTGTACTGCTGTTGTACAAGTGCTCTGTGCAGTACTCGTTATTTTTTTTGTACGGAGGGTCTGGGTCACAGGGAGCCCCAAGACGGGGGGGTGCCATCACGATGGAGTCCATGCACTGAGGTGTACAAGTAGTCTTTTTTTGTTATACGAGGGAACCGCAGCCTGAAGGTTGACATGAAAATGTGCGTTGCAATTTGATTGTAGCAAACACTTTGAAGCAGTAGTTGCCGCATGGAACAGCCGCCTAAAGGGTGGGCATGCAAGAGGAGCACAACGTGCCTGTAGCTATTTGCACGTCCCTAGCCTTGTCCTTTTGGGCAGAGGGTCGCAACACGGTGGGGATCTGCCCTTGATACGAGGCGCCTGTACGTGTCTCAGATACAGGCGGTGCTACCCAACGTGCGAAACGGAGCCACCGTATGGCGCGAAAGAAAGGTGCCAGCAAACTCCACCATGACGATGAACATAAAACCACGACATACTTTCAGAATGCATTCACATCAGTCGTACCGACTGAGGTCGATATCGTACCCCGTCGGCTTCCAAGCGTCAAAGAAAGCTTGCTCGCCAGCATCCGGCAACAATCCTTCCCCGTCCATAGAATCGTCCAGCCTCACGGAAGACAACAGTACCCTGCCGCCGTAGGCGCCGCTACCACCGTCACCCCCTTGCTCAAGCGTGTCGCCTACCTCTCTACCCCACCGATCACTAATCTCCGATGCACTCATATCTCGTCTATCTGATTCAATATCACCCCCCCAGCCCCGAACAGCATGACCGGAAACACCCTCGTCGCCACAACCACCGATATCGTCGGCCTGGTCGGGGACGACCTCAAATCGCCCATTCACCGCCGCTTGCTTCTGCCGGTGGGACTCCAACAACTCCCGTTCTTTCCGGAGTAGGAATCGGGGGACTGCCCCAGGATGCGTCGGAACGAGCTGCGAAGATGGCACGCCACCTTCAGTGGCAGAGGCTCCAAACCGAACAGCCGCACGAGTCGTCTTGTTTGGACGGCAGCGAAACACGCCGGTGCCTGCTTCGACCACATTGCTGTTTGAAGACCAGGTGCGTGTGTCGACAACGCGACCGCCAGCACTGCAAGGACGGCGGGCCGTGGTGTTCGCGGTGAGAGCGACGGTGGTCATCGTCGTGCGTACCGGCCGCTCCTCCCCGTTTGGTCCTGATGTCGAGTTGCCTTCGAACGCCCGCCGCGCGCTGCAATGAGCATCCGAAGGCGTGGCGTGGGAAGCCCCCGTGTGGCCACCAACGGTGGTTCTTCCTCTTTCACCTAAAAACTTGTCATGCGCTTCGGGTAGGCGCGCACTTTGGGGACGGAGGCGTTCAGTCGCCGCCAAGGCGCTGCACCCTTCGTAGAACCCGACCCGGCCACTACGGCCCTCGAACGATGCCGAGCCTGGCCTGGGGTGCAGACGGGACGGCCTGACAGTGTCGAAAACTGCGGCCTCAACGCGAGCAACCGCCGCCGAGTCTTGTCGCTGCTGCTCACGCTGCTCTTGGTTCTGGAGACATCGAGCGTTCCCGTCGACGGTCCTGCTGCTGCTATACTGCTGCCTAGCTCTGGATTCAAAGGTAGAGCCACGCGCCATGGTCCCGGGCCGATTGAAGGTGGAGGCGTGACGACCGTCTCGGACACCGTTTCGACCTTTTGTCGAGTCAGGTCTAGACTGCTCTCCTCGTGCGAGGCCCTCTTTCCTCCTCGGCGAGGTTGTCGGGGATGAGCCATAATTTGGTTGGCCTTCATCCATCCCACCGTTGCCCGTGTTGGGACGGTGGTTCCGGCGCGGGGAATAGGTATCAGCGCCCCATCCGAACCGCTGCTGCTCCCGTTGGTTGTTGACCATCGTGCAACTTTCGTCGTTTTCAAATTCACGCTGGGCCCGTTGTCGGCGCTCCTTTTCCTCGTCCTCATCTCCCCGAAGAACGGACAGCATACGATGCTCCAGGTGCCAGGGGGGACCGGAATCGTTTTTCCCGCCTTTGGATGAGGGTGGCGACGATCGTCCCAGCGTGACCGCCGCCACCAAGTTCGCGTCTTCCACCTCTCGCTCGAATCCGCGCGCCTCAACCGCGGTCCTAAATGCCCTTGCTAGCTTGCCCACCTATCGAAGTCGAGGGGGGGGACAGGTGCAGAAAATACATGTCACAGAGTCATTTATACCGAAAGTTGCCCGAAAATTACGAGAGCTGGCAACAACGAAGGCAGCCTCACACTTACCAGGTGGATCTCCATTGCCCAAATCAGAGGAGGCACTCCTAGCGGTGGCCGCCCCAGTGCTTGAGTTCGGCTGTCCCCGAAGTTGTTATGTCTATCTGCCACAAAGCGTCGGCGTTCGGCAGAAGCGTCCGATCGCCGCTGCTCCACGTCGAGCGCAGCGACTACTTCATCTGCAAGCTTCAGAAGCGCCTTTTCTGCTGGCGAGTACCTCTGTCGACGGCTCTCGCTGCCACCATTAGCTGAAGGATTTTTCTCTGGGGTGGGTGCTGATGCGACGGTAGGTTCCGGGGTGGGTCCAGAAGCTCCTGCTGTCACGCTGTCAAGGACTACGGCAGCCGTGAAGAGAAGGTCCGTTGGGTTGATCGCTGGTCGCGGTGCTCCCGCCGGGCTGGTTGACGGGGTAGTTCAAGAAGAGTCCAGCACCGAAGCGATTTGGGGCAGGGAAGGGGAGAAGGGCTGTCACGCTGTTTGTCTTTTGTTGCTTCGCGCACGAGCGTGAATCTTGCAGGGCTGAAGCCCATGGTCTACTGCTACAGAGCGTATATCTCGCGTGGCATACCCAGCTCTTCCCTCCAAGTGCGTTCCCCCGCAAGCTCGCACGACGAAAGCACGGAAGGAGCCGGGACTCACCCCTCCCGTCCACCGATAAGTTGTCGGACATTCGGCGGGCGAGACACTCCCCAAGCTTGGCCTGGGTGGTGCTGAGCTGCAGCTGAAGCAAGGAGGGCTCTGGCCTCTCGGGCTCCTTCCTCTGCCTCTCGATGGTACGCCCACAGCACGTCTTCGCGTCGCTTCAGGAGGAGATCTAGCTTGCCTAGCAGACCGTACACCTGGTGGTGCGTGTGATGTTTTAGAGTGCTTTGCGATCGACCTGGGGTTTGGTAGAACTTCGTTGAAGTAGGAATGCGGAGGGGGGACTGTACTGAAGTAACCTCAAGGTTGGGGTCGATGCCATTACTGCTCACTCGTTCTAGGGCTTGGTCTAGACGTCGAGACTACTTTGCAAAATGATAACATGACAGGGAGCGCATTGCCGACAGCTGCGAAGGGGTACTGAAATAGTGCGGAAGAAGCCGCCGATACCATAAACGCGGAGCATCAGGCGTCATCGCGAATGGATACTCATCGACGGTACCCCCCTGTTTCTGGGAAGACCCATCCCAAAGCTACAGACTACAATTCACGGTATACACGATATTGATTCAAACCGCAGCCAGACCTGCTGTTCCATCAAAGGTTCGTCTTCCACGTCGATACCCCCGGCAACCTGGACGTGAACGTCTCTGCTTCTGGGTAAATCTGGCGAATCTCCTTTTCGTGAGAGTGGCCCAAGTCGATCTACGGGCGCCGTTTGCGACCCCTGCGTCATGCGCGGTCGACCGATGAGTGTTAACGCCCTGGCCAGACCGTCCGGGAAAAACTTCTCTCCCATCACGCCGCCAATCCTTCGTCGGAAGAACTTAACGCCAATCACCTTCAATCGGTGCACTACTTCCTGGCAGGAGTGGCCGTACGCCGATTCCGCGTTGGCCGGTCTAGAAGCGGGCCCAAAAATAACCCTTTTCAGCTGACGGCACTTCGCCTGAGTGAACAGTGGCCAGAATTAAGGGGTGAGAAATTGTATTATGTTATCGTTTAGCACATTATATATGCCGTCATGGACTCCTTCCAACCGTCATGGAAGGCACCTCATTTTCTTTACTACAGTTTCAACTTACAACTTTCCCCGCGGTTTGAAGCAGTTGGGCACATGTACTGCATAATATGCACACAAAAAGGGTAAAACATTGCATGAAAATATCGGCCTCATGTCAGTATCCATGTTTCTTTGGTGGCCTCTAGCACATCCCGCAATGATTCAGTATTAATGTCGTACCTTCATCTGCTCATACTCCACGAGGTACAGCTGAGCGGCTGCCACGTTAAGTTGAGCTATAGTATCCTCAAGCTCTGCCTTTTCCAACCTCAGCTTGTCGACCTCAATTCGCAGCACCTCGGCCAGATCTGCAACACTCCGGAAATGGAGATCGGCACCGCCGACGGTACGGCCAGGATCTGCTTCCTCCGACACAACGACAGCAGCACCACCACAATTTCCCTCTATTGTACCATCTCCATCCTCTGTGACCAAGTTGTCTCCGGCCTCTCCCTCATCGGCCGACCCTGCAAGCTTTCGCTGCTCCTGGGAAATGGATTCCCTTCGTGATGATGCCGCAGTGGCCGGCATGCCCACGCCGTCTTCGTTCACGATGGGACCTCTCGCCCTTGGAGCTTGTTCCACTCCCTCGTCTCCGGCCGCTTTGTGCGTGGTGTCAAGGTAATTTGACTCCTCCTGAGTCCCACAAAGCGAGTCGCCGTGTTTTTCAGTCCCCCCCGCCTGTTTCTGCAAATCCTCCATCTCCTCTACCGCAATGCTTGGGTCTACTGGGTCCGACGTCGGAAGCGGAGAGCCCGTGGCATCTTCGGTTGCAGTCTTCGTGGATAATTGTTGTCCCTCCGTGGCCGTCAGGCTGCGCGTTGGAGTTGCCGATTCAGCCGTCGAAGCATATTTTGTCTTAGCTCTCTCTCCGGTTAACCGGTTCGGCGGTTTTCGGACGATGGTACCCTTAGTAAGTTTGCTGGGCGATGAGCGTGCAGCTTTCCCGCGCTCTTGTTTCGTTGTCCCTTTAGCTCGTCCGTGTTTCATTGGCATGATGGCCCCTGATTTCCCATCTCCAATGTCGCTCTTAGCCTCGGCGACCACAGTGAGTGGGGGCGGTTCTGAAGCATTCGCCACGATTTTCACGGTAGGATCAGCCTTAGCGCAGCCCTTTCCGCCAGTCAGAGAGCTTTCGGCCTCTCGTATTGTCGTTTCGTCCCCTCCTGGTGCTTGGTTGCCATCTTTGGTGAGAGAGCTCTTAGAAGTCTCTCCCTCCTCCAGCAGCTGTCCCTCCACTAAGGAAGCACTCGAAGGTTTCGCGTTGTCGGTGGCGTTGACGTTGCTCGCATCATCGCGTTCGTGTGGCCTGTTGGTGTCAGGCTGGGGTGGAGAGTTTCGCAGCTTCTCCTGGCTCTCCTTCTCTATCACAACTGTTTTTTGACGGTCATTCGTCGGCCCCCCTGTCTTCCTACCACTGCCCTTCGTGAGCCTGGCCTTGGGTCCAGCATCTTTTGGAGAAGGATGGCGACCATCTTCGACATGCGTTCGTGGTGTTGCCTTACGCGTTGTCGTCGTCCCTTCATAGGCAGTTCGAGAGCCGAGCGCCTGCTTGGAAGAGCCACTAGCACCATGGGCTCGATCGCTGAGTTTTTCGCGGTCAGTTACAGCACCACGCCCAGACTGCTGACCGCCACTGCTTTGTCCTCGACCACGTCTTCCCCGTCCGATCGCCGAGGAACCCTGACCTCCTTTCGGTGGAACGGCGTTCGTTGGTGAGAACTCGCCGACTTTTATCGAAGTTTGTTTGGTGTCACCATCTTGACCTGCTCCGCTCCCTGTCTCTTCTTGGATGACGTCACCGTGGATACTACCATCTTGCTGTAGAGGCGTTACCCCGGCCCCTTGCCGCTCCGTGCCGCTATCTAAACCACCCTTTATGTCACCGTTCGCCATATCTGGGGTAGGCGACGGCATCGTTGCCGTCGGCAAGAGCATGTCGAGCTTTACACGAGCTGCTCGAAGGTCAGCCTCCGCTCCTAGTCGCAAGAGGCGCCGCCGAGACAGTTCCTCGAATTGGCGAGCGCGTCTCGCGATAGTCGCCGACAACGAGGCGGCAAGGCCAGGCGGTTTGCTCCTGCTATCTTCGTCTTCGTCTGAGTGCAGAACGAACTCCTGGCGTGCCAAGACAAGAGTTTTTGGTGGCGCTGCTGAAAGAAGCATGTTCGATCGCTGTTTTGGCACAAAAGCTATTGGATGACTACCGATCACTATTTCAGAGGTAAATTAAATGTTGGGTACAAGCGACTCGCCCACGAACAAGCAAATTGGATGCAACCTACCAGTTTCAAAACACGCCACACCTGCATCTGCAGCCCTTCGCTGTCCACGGCTATTGCATCGAGATCGGAAAGAGGCGCACCCTGGTCGGCGAGGGACATTAGGCTTTCCAAACGCTCTATTTCGACGTGAATGTCAAGACCTCGGCCATCGTTGCCGAGCTCTTCGCAGGGTGACGGGGCATTGTCTTCAGCCTCGTTGACTACCCTTACAGTTACACCCGGTCCCCCCTTGAGTAGATCACCGAGTTCCTTCCGATCGACAGCACAGCCAGCTGAGTCACCGTCCCATCCCGTGTCAACCCGTGAACTTGCTCTCCGCAAAGAAACGAGCTCCGCTTCGACTAGGGTCCGGTCCGTCAGTGCCATGTCGAGATCGTGCTGCAGCTTAATGCATCGTGAGCACGTCCTCACGGTGCTCTCCTCATTGCTCTTGGCGGCAATGGTAGATGGCGATGGAGGAGATCCCTTTCGAGATGCCCAGTTGTTGTCGTTTCCGGTTCCGTCTCCACACCCGGTGAAGGCGAGAGTTGTCCCGTTGCCGTTGTTCGAACCGGTTAGATTGTCTGTGTCAGGAGGCTTACAGGTGCCTGCCATTGTGTCACGTTCCGATAACAACTCATCGCTTCTTTGTGCGCAGCAGGTGCTATCCTCCAGAGAATGATTAACCGTGTTTTCATTGGCGGCGGTTAGGATGGGAGAGGCGGGCCGTGACGTGACCGGGGAGACGGAACGAGGCGAGTTGATTGCTGGCTCGCCAGCGACATCATCCGCAGCTCGAAGCAGTTTCGCCGTTTTCCCAATAAGCACAGGGTCGTTTGTTGCCAAAGTTCGTTGCTGCTCCCGCACAAGGATTGACTCTTTGACGTTTCGCGCTCGCTGTTCGGCAAGGGCCATATCCCTGGCACGCACCAGACACCGCAGCTCATGCACCTTGAAAGCATAGGTGGAACGGAGAGAGACCATTTGATTTCTTCAGCATTGGACGCCAGGCTACATTGTGTATTTGAGAAAGCACTGGCAGGGAATTTTCTTTGTCAGTGGGAAAGTCGCATATTGAGTTGGCACACTGTAACTGTTGCGTTCTGCATCACCTCGTTGATCAATGCCGCATACTACAACGATCATACAGTAGTCCACGTAGTCTCAGCAGAGTACCTTTTACAAAACAACATCCTACCAACATACAACTTTGGTCATTATTGTACCAAAGGCACGTTTCATTCGATATGAAAGTAACTAAGCCATTTTACAACACATATTTTTGGTCAGGTTCCGACCATGCGACAATCACGAACATGTAGACTAGTCTTTGTAGACCACAGTACATTCCAAAGACTCAAACGAAAACACCAGCTCACTGATGTTGAGGGCGTTTTCTCGTCACGACACGACTCACCAAGTTGGTCTGGGCCGACTGCCATGTGCTCAGGCCCACTGTGAGAATCTTGTCGGTGCCATGCTTATTTTCGCCGTCTCCTTCAACGGAGCTGAAGCCGTTGCCGTCCGGTCCTTGCGCCATGTCGGCGCAGAGAGATGTCGGCAGTGAAAAGGTGAAAACGTCAACGCACCTAAGACATGGCTAGATGTCGCATACAGACAAGACTCCCGGAAAACTCTTCTGCTGTGATGGCCGGTGAAGCCCAGTGGGACTTGACTGTACACGGTATCGACAGACGGACAGCAGCCGCGTACCTACCACGCAACAGACCAGCCGACCCGACGACCCGACTGGATCGGTGATCGTACCAAACGACACCTATTCCGCCGCACGCAATCAACAAAAACGCAAAAACGTCCGACTACCCAACAGCAGTACCCAACGTCATTCGTCTGCACCTTCCCAACATAACATATATGAGACACACGACACAGCTACCAAACTGATTTGTTGAGCCTGTTACCCGCAGGGGAGATGTCCCTATATGCTGCCTGGAAAATCGTTGACATACAGGTAGTTTTCTCTGACGCTATGATTCCATTGTTAATCTGTCTCTGACTCTTTTCTCGTAGATAAAGATGGACTCGTTGTGTCATATTAAGAAAAAAAACAAAAACAATATCTGTCGTTGATTTCTATTGACTTGCGGACCCCTCGGGGCAATTTTACTTGAGTGTACCTTTTTAGGGTAAGTCAACCTGCGACCACGGGAATCGACCGCGTCGAGTGTTGGATCAGTGCGGACATACGAAGGTACTAGGTAGAGGGAGATCGGAACGGTTTTTAATGTGAAGACAACAACAACATTCAAATGATGTAGATGCATGAAATGATACACTCTGTCTTTAATTATGGTCCGCGCTGCCTATAAATAAATGGGAAAGGTAGCTGGGGCCTTCCGGCGAATGGGGGAGAATGCTGATGTTGTTGGAGTTTCTGTCCGTGGGAAATAAGGAGACCGGTTCTGGAACCGTTTCGGCGAGACCAACCGAAATAAAAAAAAAAGGAAAAAAATTCTTTAGCACATTTTTCAAGATAAGCGATGCGGCGCATCCTGTTTCACCATGAACATCGATAGGCCTGTCCTCCATCGGCCGGTTTTTTTTCCTTTTTCGTCCGCTTTTTTTTTTCTCTTTCGGCCGCTTTTTTTCCTTTTTCGGCCGCCCCAATTTTTTTTCGGCCACCCCAATTTTTTTTTCGGCACCCCAATGTGTGCCCGTACTAGCCCGTACAGGTACCCTTTTAACACCCTCTCGTGCATCCTATGCTTGTTGCGCACGATGGATNCCACCGCCAGGCCCCCCCTCCTCCTCCTCCTCCTCCTCCTCCCCGTCCCCTTCCTCTTCCTCCCCCTCTGCTTCCCCCTCCTTCTCCTCTGCTAATTCCTCCTTGTCATACCGCAGCTTCAGATAATGCCTATCCCTTCCTCGGTTGTACTTGATGAGGGCGGCAGCCATCCTGTCTGACAAGCAGCTGTTCTGACTTGAGTCTAAGCAAGAGCGTATTGTCGAAAACACGCGCTCCGTGAAAGCCGACGAGGGTTGCACTAGAGCAATGTCCAACACTACGGCGAANATTGATGAGGGCGGCAACCATGATCCTGTCTGACAAGCAGCTGTTCTGACTTGAGTCTAAGCAAGAGCGTACTGTCGAAAACACGCGCTCCATGAAAGCCGACGAGGGTTGCACTAGAGCAATGTCCAACACTACGGCGAACCACGTCGGGAGTTTCTCTTTGTGGTCCTGCCAGAACTGCCAAAGATCGTAGTCTCTGCCCGTCACGCGGGCGGCGACATAGTAGTCGGCTTTTTCGGTGAGAAGCTTGTCGACTTGTTCCTCCGAGATGAAAGGGAAGACGGCGAGGCTGCGGACTTCGTTGGCGCTGTACTTGTGACGTCGCATGAAGGTGAAGTCGATGAGTCGCGCGGCCTCCATATACTTGAGTACTGTCGCCCGCTCAGCGTCCTCGTGGGGCCCGATCTGATCGTATGCGTAAGTGCGCAGAGGGACGAGTTCGTCTTGAAACTCAGCCTTGAGAAGGTCGGCGGTGGCTCCCTGCGTGTTGAGAGAGTGAAAGGAGCCGGGAGGAAGGAGGGACGGGACAGGGCGAAGGGTTTTGAGTGGGTGATAACGTGCGGTTCTGTTCGGTGTACACTACACGATTGTCAGGTGGTTGCAAAGTACATGAACCACTGGAGTAAAATTAATTTACTTACGAAGTCGTCTCCCTGGCCAATGCCGGCGGCGATGACAGCGTCCAGAGTAGGCAAAGCCACGTCCTCCTTGAAGAGCCCATCGTTGCCTAGCTCGAGCTGGGACCGGAACTTCTCGATTTTGCTGAACGCTTGGTGCAGCTGCAAATAAAGGAAAC